CTAGAATTTTCATGGTAATTTGTACAACTAATAATACTAATAATACTAATAATAGTAATTATGTATGCATATAATATAATCTTATATGTTTTATACAATATGATCACATTTAAAATAAAATTAAAAAATGACTTGTGTATTTTTTTTTAGAAAAAGGCAAATGTGTCGGTTATTATTATCATTTCAAATTAAATTTGGATATATTAATCTTTACGTGCATTCCTATTTCTTTGAATTTTGATACGTTAGTCTTTATATGTATCTTATTTCCTATTTTGTAATAGAAAATTTATATTAATTTTGATCAGTTTTTACAATTATGTCATATCTAGGGAATATATTTTTTGTAATTATATATTACGTAAGCATAATATTGTAAATTTACACATTGAAATTCAATATCTAAAATTAAAAAATATTATGTCCATGCCGTCGTAACAAAATAGTGAATGATACAGCAGAGATTACAAAATTCCACGAGAGAAAACGAATTAATGAAACGAAGCTGAGAATGCCGGAAATGGAATAATTCATTTCCCGATATTCCTTGATTTCCGGTTTGCGCGCGAGGATAAAGTTATGCCTATTCGCTGCCATCAGTTTGCCGGCATTTCAGAGGCGATGCTATAACGTTTATTAAAAGCCAACTCTAAAATGCATTTCCATTTATTTAGTTCTGCATCGATTACGATATAGCTTTCCCGAGTGCAGAGAGTACATCTTTTTTTAAAGATGAAAAACAAATATTGCTGATGCATGGATAAATATATTTTATTCATAAAAATCACAAAGCAGAGAGAAGAAATGGAGAGAGAGAGAGAGAGAGAGAGAGAGAGAGAGAGAAAGAGTTCAACATGTGTGTATTTTTTCTAATCAGATATTATTATTTTTAATTTCTGATCCATGAATTTTCTAAGAAAAAGGAAAATCGAAGGATAAAAAGCTGCAAATTTATATTTCCAATTTCAACTTCAATTAGATACAAGTTTAACTTCTACTTTTGTTTCAGCTTGTTTTAGCTTTAACGCTTTAGTTTCATTTCCGAGCTTAAGCTATTTTTATTTTTAGAAATACTTTTTATATATTATACATATAAAATATAAATAATTACACACATGATAAAAATTTGTCAGTCCGACACTGCGACGTGCGACGTGTCGAAACTACGCCTCGAAAATTGCGTAAGGAGTAACAATTCACCCTATTAGATCAATTCCGCCTACACGTACTCTTTCTCTCTCTCTCTCTCTCTCTCTCTCTCTCTCTCTCTCTCTCTCTCTCTCTCCCTCTCTCTCTCTTCGTTTCTTTAGCGAGCAATGTGATTACTGTTGTCAGAGCACAGTATTGTCGTAGAATGCGCGATAGTCTAATGTGCTTTAACGCGTCTTTATCTTACTGATTCTTACAACGAGTCCCTCAGAATGGAACGAAAGTTTTTCGAAAATGCATCCGCGCGATTTAACCTAATTTCCACCGAAATTTTTATTCACTTTTCGAATAAGTGGGACGGCTATTGTCAGTTTGATATCGATTAAATCGTATATCAAACACCCGCCCTTGCCAGCCAATTCGCAGAATTCTCGCGACGGGGTAATCACATTCGAATGCCATCATTAATCTCAAAGAGCTTCGATCAAAACACTCGATGTCATGATTCATCAAGCCGCTTAAGGGAAAAAAAGAAATTCCATTTCAACGTGAAAAACGAGAACACGAGGAAATGCGCGACTGTAAAATTGAAGATTCACGAAAATGAAAATTATAGGATAGATACCTGGAAGAACTAGAGAATACTCTGGTATCTTTCTATTATACTTGGACTAATAGGCCTGTTCTTTTTGACTGAACTTTTTACACCAATTCATCCAAGAGGAAAGAAAAGAAAGAAAGATGAAGTGGTGCTAAAGTTCAGCTAAAAAGAACAGGTCTTATGATACGTATGATTTATACATAGGAGAATGAATAACAGCGTGAAACATTTAATCAAATCGATTATATTATATTATTCGTATCATGTTATTATTAATATGTTTTTTAATTAAAAAAAAAAAATCCTGTATTAAAGCGGATTTTGTACTTAATTATTTCTGTGTCAATTTATAAATAAATTTATATTCTTTTTGCAAACTGCGTGCCGAAATTTTTTTTCGATCTTGAAATGCAATCGTGAGCAGAACCAGAAAATAGTATCATTATTTATATTAATATCTTATTATTTATATATATATTTCCTTTAAGAAACTTTTTACCTGATGAAAAAATCGTATATGGTGATGATTAATTTTATTTACGACACATTATTAATTCGGAACTCTCTCTTTTTTCCTCTTTATTTTCCTCTCTTAATTAATTCAACTCTCAACACAAACTCTCTTCTGTTTATCTACAGAAGCACCAAGACACAGCGCGATCTAAAATGTACTGCGCGCAGAATATAGTAACAACGATCTGTCTGATCTCGTATCTCGTTAACAGCAATCGAGGAAAGCGTTTTGCTCTCCGTCTTTCCTTTAGCCACATCCCTCTCTCTCTTTCCCTCTCTTCCGGAGGATTTGAACGATAGCTTGGCTTATGGTTATTTCCGCGGATTATATCGCACCCTCGTTTTAATATAAATAACATAGCCCGTGCCTCAAGTGTTAACTTCCAAGAGTCAAGAGTTATCAAGCCAATTATTTAATCAATATTCACAAAATTCACGCAAACGCGTTCACGTAATGATACTAGAGAATTTATGCAAGCTGTTTGTAATATGTAAGCAATAGCCCTTTGAATAACAACAATTATCGCAAAATCAAAGTAGACAATGCCGTAACGTAATTAAGACAAGTTACGTCAATATTGCTATATAGTGTTACGTAATGCTTTCGATCGTAATGATTTCTTGCACGTGTTTGTGATCGTACAGAAAACATGTGTTTCCCTTCGTTCCTTTTATAAAGTTCAAAGTATAAAAGAGTAAAAAAGAATATAAAAAATAAGGATTCTATCAACAAATGAATAATTTTATGTTTATTTAGTAAAATGATTATAATGTCGAAATCAATATAAACGGTACTATGGTTGAGAGTAACTTATTTATTATTACAATATATGCTATTATATTTGATATCAAATACTGC